TTTTATTCTGTTGTTTTCAGTAATGAATCTCTGTACGAGTTCGGTAGATTTGACCGATCTCGCAACCACCATAAAAAATTAGGAAATAATATGCCTCTTTCATTCTAGAATGAACAAAAATTATAACATTATAAATGTTTAGACTAAATAGCTTAAATCTCATAACATTATACATTTATATATATTTATTATTTTTATTATATTGACCTTTCAGCCTTGCCTGGCTAACAATACAGAAGTTACAATGATGCAGCACATGTGTACTCATGTTACCATATCCAGTAACATAAAACTGACCTTTGTCTGAACAAAGTAACTTGTCTTGGTTGTGTGTTAGTAGACTAGTATTTTTAAAATCCAGACACTTTTCAATTATTATACATTATAATTGTATATAGATTATTGCTATTTTGAAATACGTTCTTAAACTTATTTTTCTTAAAACATAGAACAGTAACTAAAGAAGTAAAGCAAACAATTATCTCTTCTAGTTATGACCATTTTACTCTATTTCTAAGCCTTTAAAAGAATTGCACATGGAGGATATGAAACAAAATATTTTTTGAGGTTTTATATATACATTTGAATAACTAAAAAATCATAAGTTACTACATTAATACCATAGAATTCCACTATAATTTATAAAGCTTAGTAAGATGTATTTTAGTCTAAAAAATATGAAATTTCAAGCAGACTAAAGACACGCCCTACCTCATTGATATATTGGTTGAAAAGATAGAAATGGCATTCGAGCCTGTTAGAATGGCTGATAAAGCTATTACGGAGACATTCTGAGCTTCTGATTGGTTACTCATGTCATATATAGAAATAAGTATATATAAAGGAGCGTTTCCAAAAATGGAAAGAGGTGGGTTGGGTGCCACTGTGTTTGATTTATTACATGAGCAATATCTTAGCGAATAGAAAAGATAAGGTGTTCTTATTTTATATTCTAGCTTTTCAATATCAGTAATTTGAGTTTCTATTTCATACAAAACTATATACTTAGTATTTTGACTTCACAAACATCTAATTTGAACCAGTGCTGCATTCGACATATCACGTGACACACAAAAATCGATGTTTATCTGTTGTTTTTTTTACATTTACTTTTAAACTGAGAAATGTATAGTACTAAAATTTGAATTATAATCTACAGTTTGATACCATACGTATTGACATAAATTCATAAAATAGTAGTTCCCCTTTTGACCCTTCTCGAAAGGGTTAAAGCTGTTGGCTTTTTGCTCTTTGTACCACCTTTCTTTCTCAAGTATTTCCTCCTCCTCCTCACCTGTGGTCACTGTCATCAGGATATTTATGCTATTAGTGCTTCTCACACCCTCTTACATCTCACTTATATTCTCCTCTACCTAGATCAGTCTTTCATTCCTCAGGCTGCTGCTGTCCTTTCTCTTCTATCTCTCACCTCTGTGATCAGATGTGGATCAACTCTTGTGTTGTGTTCAGTCTGTTCATTGTTAATTATCATAGACATCTTTTTTGGGGTCCATGATATCGTCTGATCGTACCTTGGGTTCCCTCTTCTTCTCCTTACTATATGGATCTGTCAACTCTTCCAGTTGGTTTATTCTTCCCGGTGTGTGGATGCTTGCAGACTATCTCACTTTTCTTTGCATTCGATTTGTTACCTTTCTCATTTTCTTACTCCTCAGTTTCATTGGCCCTCAGACAAGATCCTTCAGGTGAGCATGTGGATGACTCCCTACATGTTTGTTGCTTTTTTTCTTCACCATCTTGCTGTTTCACCTCACACAGGATTTTGACTTCCACAAGTCACCATACTTCAATTAATTCATTGTCTTTGACATTGGTGAGTATGTTTCCTTTTCATTTCTCTTCCTTTCTATCAAACAGGAACTCACTAGGTGGCTGGTGTTGCCTCCCATGTTATTCTTATATCCCAAAATCTGCATCAAGCTAGGATAATGGAAAGTGTTCAGCCCATCCACCTGTCTCTACCAGTGCCCACTATAAGATGTTGGACAAGACCACTTGAAGTATCTTTGTGATATACAAATTTATTCAATTGTCTGATCCAGACTATTCCAATTCTACTGACTATTATTAGGGAAGTGACTGCTTGTGGTTGCCTGCTTTTAAAAATAGATTTTTGAGGTCACCCGTTGCACTATTTCCAGTAAAAGACCTTTTCAGCTGGTGATCTGATGGGGATCCAGGCAATTCTCCTGGCCTCCCCAACACGAATTCACCTCCTTTCCCTCTTCTTCAAGTGGAGAATGGGAGACTGTTGCCACTTACCAGTTCCTAGCTGCTGGAGTAGTAGATCATGGAGGATCCTTACTGGTTGGGCTTAGCACAATACAGTGAGAAGTAGGGCAGTACTAGCACTGTCAGTGTAGTAAATGTCACCCCTCATGTAGCTACTGTGCCTTCCTCCTGCAGTCAGAGTCTGTCCAGTAGTGTTGAAGTGATAGTGTCCTAACCACACTACACATATTGGCTTGTTGACCACTTTTGTGCTTATATTTGGTTGGTTGTGATCAGATTCCTTCCATCCCTTCCTGTGACAGTTCAGGCTCTTTTGCCTTTTACTCCCTTTCATTTCGAGGGAAGAATATAGTGGAGGGCTATTGATGCATTATAATATCATTCACCAGTGCAGTTCACATTAAACACATGAATTGAGTTGGGAGTTAGCATCCTTCATCTCTGAACTCAGATTTTTCCTCATCATTTATCAAGGTTTGTTTAGACAGTGGGATTACTGTAATGCACCGTAACCATAAATTTTTTAATTAGTTGATTTTATGTGTGGTGGTTAATTTGGTATGAGGGACATGTTTCCAATGGAAAGAAAAATTTAAAGCATGACTAATTGAAAGGGGATATTGATGTCTGAATCATTTTGTTCAGTAAGTCAATTGTAATCTTTAATAGAAAATATATTCCTGTGATAGTTGTTTGCATTTGTAATGTTGTGTGTACTTTGGACTTAAAGTATTTTATGAATTACAGTTTTCCTGTACAAAAAAAACTTCCAAATTCTTTAATTGTTCAACCTTCTGTAATGAAAGTAAGTTCTTAAATCCCTGTATGTACAATTATTTTATACTTGACTTATTTTTTTGCTACGATTTTTTATGGTTTTATTATATCAGTTTTTAACATTTAAAGATGTAAATTTTCTTTGCTAGTGTGGGTACCACATTGAAGTACCAATTCGCATAGTCCTGTTCTCTTTAGATAATTTCAAAGGATATATTTCTACAGTCCATTTTCACCTTTGAAAAAAATTGACACATGTTATATAGCTTCCCACACTTTCTATGATTTTGAGAGGTTTAAACATGTATTTATTGCTAATGATATACATTTTATTCATAATTTCCAAATCTGTTGATATAATGCATTACAGAAGATTTTAAACATAAGCCCTTTATTTATTAAAACATTTGCAGAACAAATATGACCTAAGGAATATTTGTCTTAATATTTTTTAATGCGTTTCCATGTCTATAGAAACTCCTCACTGCCATTGAGAAAAAGGAAGCAAGGAAGAAGGCAGCTGAAGAAGCTAAGAGAAGGGAAGCAGAAGAAGCTAAGAGAAGGGAGGCAGAAGAAGCTAAGAGAAAGGAGGCAGAAGAAGCTAAGAGAAAGGAGGCAGAAGAAGCTGAGAGAAGGGAGGCAGAGGAAGCTGAGAGAAAGGAGGCAGAAGAAGCTAAGAGAAGGGAGGCAGAAGAAGCTGCCGCTCGAGAAGAAGAAGAAAAGAAAAAGGTTGAAGAAGAAAAGGCTGAAGAGGCTAACCAAGAAGAACAAGTTGTTGAAGATACTGATATCAAAGAAGACGAAGAGCAGGAAATTCAAGATGATCAAAAAGAGAAAGAAAAAATATCTGTAGTTGAAAATCCGGAGGAAATGGAAAAGACAGATGAAAATGTAATAGCAAAAAGTGACACCCATTCCTTGAAACAACCAACAAATGTATCAGATACTTCACCTATGGAAACTGATAAAAAGGATAACATCTCTCCAGAACTCCCTGAAGCGAATGAAGAAAGTACTGAATTAGCAGTTACCAAAACTGCTGAGAATGAAGAAGAAGAGGAGGAGGAGGAAGAGGAAGGTAACGAGGAGGTCAACACCAGCAAGGAAGTTACTCCTTCAGCTACCACTAGGAGTAGATCTAGGGGACGAGGTCGAGGCCGTGGGCGGGGAAAGAAACGGTCGTAAAGGCAAAACTGGTTCATCAAGGTCCTCTTTGAGCCTACTCTTATTCTTGAAAAATTAAAAAGTTTTATGTGCTTCATCTGAATAATTTGTTTTTATCACTTTTAATTAACTTGTGTAATTTAGACTGTCTTAAACGTTGAAATTGTTAGTTGTGAACCACTGTGTCATGGGAAGTTGAGAGACGAAAAATAACATTCTTGTATCTGATTATTGTATCTTAATTTGTGAAGTACAGTAAAATTATTCTGTAGACTTCTTTTGTTTCATAACTGCATTTAACTGTAAACACAAGTAAAAACAAAGTATGAAGTAATGTATTTGTAATGCAAAAAGTTCTTGATTAAGTTTATCTAATGTTGAAAGCAGTCAAAGAAGAAATTTCAGTTTTCCAAATCTAATCCCAAACAAAATATATTTTAACAGGTGAATCATTTTCTCTCAAGGATATTTGAAGATATGCATAAAATGTGTTTTCTGACTTTAGTATAGGCATTCTTAATATTTTATTATCATTTAGAGATATGTTCTACTTTTTTGTTGTTGTTAAAGTAACTGAAAAATAAACGTTCATGTTATCCAGATGACATAATGGCTAATACCTGTTACACAATGAAATTTGAGCTTGAAAAATACATGGAAAGCCTGAGAGTTTACTATTGAAATTTATTAAAAATATATATATTAAATCTGTAATTTAAATTATTAACTATTTATTATTAAAGTTCCCTCAAAGTAATTATTCTTTAACAAAAAGCAAAACTTTGTGCAAACACCCACTAATTACCATAGAAAAATATTGACTTTGGATAAATACCCACCACAAACATGTTTTATTGGAAGTTATAATCATGTTGCGAAAAAAGAATTTTGCTTGCAGGATTTTATAGTAAGAATATTAGAAAACTGAGAAACTCTGGCAGCTAGAAACCACACCTCTGTGATTTATTGTAACTTGGAAATTATGTACACGTTGACTAACCTTTGGGCTTGCCTTCGATAAAACATAAGAAGCTGCCACTCCTCACCATCTGTAATTCACTAATGGACTTTAAACTGGTGTAAAGCAATGAGTACGCTTTTCATGGATCTTTTATTCAGTTCATTTCTACACAGTTGATAATGTATGGCGCAAGTCTATAACATTAACATGTTTTAACTTCAATTTGTTTTTCTTAACATCTCTGCTGTCCACGATACAGGAATGTTTGTGCGTAATGTCGCATCCTATTGGGAAGTTACTGTTGAACGGTAACAAATCTTGTTTATCGTTCAGTAAGTGAATAATGGCACAATAACAACTATTTAATTTGGCATGCACTGACTGGGCAAACCATACTGTCCATATGCTATTGTATAATTCATTATCTAATAAAGGGACGAGTTGGCCAGTTTGAGATGTTTATAGTTTTTGTTTGTTTGTATTTTATTTGCTGCTATTTCTAAATTGGGTGGGTGATCCATTAAAAGTTTATTAACAATAAAGAGAACTATTTGAGAATAGAAAGATGAACCAAAGATTTGTAAATAGATAATTTTAGTTTAAGAAGAAAACTTTATTGATCAATTACTTGCCGGTCAAGTGATTAGGGCGCTCTACTCACAATCAAGGGTCGCAGGTTCAATTCCCTGTCCCACCAAACATGCTCGCCCTTTTAGCCGTGTGACGGTCAATCTCACTATTCGTTGGTAAAAGAGTAGCCCAAGAATTGGCGGTGGGTGGTGATGACTAGCTGCCTTCCCTCTAGTATTACACTGATAACTTAGGAACGGCTATCGCAGATAACTCTCGTGTAGGTTTGCGCGAAATTCCAAACCAAATAATCAATTATTTGCAATTTTCTTTATTTACACTTCTAGGTTAAAAAAAAGACCTAACAATTCTAATTCTTCCCATATGTTAACCGTAACAACAGAGAAGACAAATTTCGATATATAGCTCCATTCTTCAGAACCTTGCCAAACATTCTTATTCAGGAATTCATAGGTTACGTGCTTCATTCTAGTCCGATCCTTTCTAAGGTCTTTAGGTAAAACCCTAAGAATAAATTTTCGAAATAATGAACGGTATTTCGTATTTAAGCTCTTAATAATGTATATCTGGAGAGATCTGGTCACACACAATTAATCGGGTTATACCCATACGCGCTAGTTAGTAAAAAGTATCGGCAAGAATACAGATTAATGTTAATCGACCATTGACAGCAAAGGAAGGACACCGAAACATAAGTTAAAAAAAATGTTTATTTTTTTATTAATTGTAGTCAGTATATTTGTCAGACTAGCCGATTTACGTTGTCATCTACTGAGAGTCTGGGGTAAGGAAGGGCTTTTCTAAACGTCCGCCCAGCAAAAAAGTTGAAACTACTAATATTCCACAGAGAATCAAGTGTTGTCATTTCGAATTAAAAATCGAACTACTAAAAATTATACAGTACGTACAACCCTAGTATAATTTCTCCAAATCAAACAAGTATAACGCAGACACGAGTTATTCACCCAATTCATTATTTAAAAAAAAAAAAATATTTTTTTTATTGTAAAAATATTTTTTATTATTAATTTGGTGTTATCAATGAATAAACATAATACATTGTCATTTAGAGACATTTCATGCCTAATGTTGGAATGAAAAGACTAAAATATGGTGGATTCATGCAGTGGCTTAACTACAAAGATAGGAGGCCCCCAGCATTTATTCCCCTTCTCGGCAATTTTTACGTTTGTGGCCTTCGAGACCGCCTGAAATTGCGTGGTGTTGCGATTGAAAAATCACTTAAGTCATCTAAACAGTGTATTGTAGCTAGCAATAGGGCTAATAAGATTTTGGGTAGCATCTATAGAAATACTGAATACAAGACAAGGGGTATTATTGTTTTACTGTATAGGTTACTTGTAAGGCCTCATTTAAAGTACTGTGTACAGTTTTGGGCTCTCTTCCTCAAGAAGGACATTGAATTGTTGGAAAAGGTTCAGAGAAGAGCCACTAGGATGATACCTGGAATTATGGGATTTTCCTGTGAGGAGAGGCTAAAATCTCTAAACTTGTTTTCTCTGGAGAGGAGAAGGGTCAGAAGGGATATGATTGAAGTGTTTTAAGGGTATGGATAATATAGATCCAACAAACGTGTTTGTGTTTAGCAATGAAAACAATAGGATAATGGGGCACAAGTTCAAAATGTGGGAGTCGTCTGCAGTTTAGACGGTATTATTTTTCAAAGAGGGTGGTTGACTTTTGGAATGAACTGACTTCAAGGGTGATAGAGGCATAAAATTTAACTGAGTTTAAGAAAATATTGGATTAATGCATGAGTAGTAAGGGCTGATTATAGTTGGGAGCTGGAAGGAACATTCTTTATGGGCTAATTAGCTCCTTTTTGCCCATTTAAAATTTTATGAAAGACAATGAAGACTTATATTTTTGTACTTTCCACAATACTTTTAATAACTGTAGTTATTTTGTTTTTGATGGATCTTAAATTCGCCTCTTTGTGGAGAGAATTGTCAATCCTTCTGCTATATAACATTAAGAACCATAGTTTCGAGCTGTCAGATTTGGCTAGCAGCAAAACTGTGTTTTCACGACGTTACCGAAAATTAAGATACACGTAACTTTACAAGTTTCTTTAATTGTGAAAATACTAATGCTATTTTTTCTTTTTAATTGAGAATAACAATATGTTAATGTTAATATGTTATTTGTTAACCACATTTAAATTTCACCCAAAATCAGTTTGAAATCTACAGGGCTAGGTTTAGGACGAGAGTCCGTGCTAAAGGGGGAGCCTGCAAGAGCTGGCACAGGATTTAGAAAGTATGGCACACAAAGCCTACCCAACTGCGCCACCCGATCTCCTCAAGTTGTTGCTGAGGGATCAGTTTGTAGATGGCTTGGACAGTCCACAACTGAAGATACAAGTAAAGCAAGCACACCCCTCTACCATGCAGGATGCAATGGCCAGAGCTCTTCGATTTTAATCCTACGTTAAGTCCAGCACAGAGGTACTAAGGTTGGTACAGTCATCAGGATTCAAGACCAGAAAAGGTCAGTTTTCAGAGAGGTCTGAGGGACTTTTCTGGCACTGTAACAAACCTGGGCACAAGAAAGCTCAATGCTGGCAACTTCAACACAGGGAAGATGCCACGGTAGGAAAGGCTGCTACCCAGAAGGGTTGTTGGAACTGCAGAGAGCAAGGACATATGAGGAGCCAGTGTAAGAAGAATACTACCAATAAGTCAGCTTCGGGAAACCAGTAGTGGTTAGTGTTGAGGGACGCCCACCAACCCCATCGTGAAAGTCCCAACAGCTAAGTGTAAAATGGCAAGCAAACATAGTGTCTACGTGACAGGAAAGCTGGATGTCCAAAGGTGCGACTTTGTCATAGAT